GGAATATAAATCATTCTATTATGAAGACACATGCAAGCATATGTTCATTGCAGCACTATTCACAATAGCAAAGACATGTAATCACTCTAAATTCCCACCGATGATAGACTGGATAAAGAAAATATGGTACATATACACCATGGAATACTATGCAGCCATGAAAAATAACAAGATCGTGTCCTTTGCAGGAACATGGATGGAGCTGGAGGCTCTTATCCATAGCAAACTAACACAGGAACAGAAAACCAAATACCACATGTTCTCACTTATAAGTGGGAGCTAATGGTGAGAATACGTAGACACAGAGGCAAACGACACACACTGGAGTCTTGTGACGGGTAGAGGGTGGGAGGAGGGAGGGGATCGGGAAAAACAACTAATGGACACTAGGCTTAATACCTAGGTGATGAAACAGTCTATACAATGAAACCCCATGACACAAGTTTTTCTATGTAACAAATTTGCACTTGTACCCCTGAACTTAAAAATTAAAAAAAAAAACTCATTCTGCTATATTCTTCATTATTTTTAATTTATATATAAACATATGTATATATCTGTTTTTATATATACACATATGTGAGTATATATTTTATATGTATATATTATGTATGTATATATGCATGTATATGTATATTATATATTATATATATTAATACTTGTATATATATTATATGCATACATATGTGTTTGTATGTTATATACACATATGTATACATATAAACAGATATATATCTGTTTATATATAAATTAAAAATAAATAAAGAATGAGCTAAAGAATATAGCAGAATATTGAGACCAGCCTGGCTGAACATGGCAAAATATCATCTCTACTAAATTAAAAATAAATAAATACTGAGCTAAAGAGTATAGCAGAATTCTGGGCACGGGGGCTCACACCTGTAATCCCAGCACTTTGAGAGGCTGAGGCGGGTAGATCACGTGAGGTCGGGCGTTCAAGACTAGCCTGGAGAAACCCCGTCTCTACTAAAAATCCAAAATTAGCCAGGTGTAGTGGCACATGCCTGTAATCTCAGCTACTCAGGAGGCTGAGGCAGGAGACTCTCTTGAACCCAGGAGGCACAGGTTACAGTGAGCTGAGATCGGACCATTGTACTTCAGCCTGGACAAAAATGAAATTCTGTCTCAAAAAAAAAAAAAAGAATACAGCAGAATATCAAGACCAGCCTGGCTGACATGGCAAAACCCCATCTCTACTAAAAATATAAAAATTAGCTGAGTGTGATGGCATGTGCCATCCCAGCTACTCAGGAGACTGAGGCAGAAGAATCACTTGAACCCAGGAGACAGAGGTTCAATACATACATATTATATTTGTATATATATAACATATACATGCATATATATACATAAATTTTAGTAGAGACAGTGTTTTCACTGTGTGGCCCAGACTCATCTCAAACTCCTGGCCTCAAGCAATTCTTCCGCCCTCGGATTCCCAAAGCACTGGGATTATAGTGAGCTACCACACCCAGCTTCGTTTCTTTAAATACTGGCTTTTCCATTGCTTCTCTAAGAGCTGGAACTGGACCACATTTCTGTAAGGATTTACTGTGTGGTGTTTTGGAGCATGGGTCTTAATTATTAACATCCTAAATTATCTAAATTACTTAATAGTGGCATAAGATAGCTTTTTTAAAATGTCTGTGTCGTTTTTTAATTGTACTCATCAAAGCAGCTTTGGGAGGATTGTCTGTTATTTGTAAATCTGCACCCCAGGCAGTTTTGTAACTGCCAAGAGGCCCCTCTTCAGAAATCATGGGCCCATAGCAAAATCTAGAATTAAAGCATAAAGATCCCAAAGTCACCACCTGTTTCCCAGCTCAATGAGCCACTCCACCACAGGCAAGTATTTAGGAAGTATGAGTGAGGAATGGGAAATTTGAAAAAAGAGCAGCTTGGGTATCTTTCCAATAGATATTCAAGTCAACAATAAAAATGCATGAATATATATTATTAAACCAAATTTCAGAGAGTGAGAAATGCGGGTTATTAAATTCCTATTTGAAAAAAAAACAAGGAAGCAGAATAATCCCTAAGACTCCTGTCATCTCCAAAATATTCTAATTGAAATTAGAGGAAAATTGCCTTTCTGTTTTCTTTTCTCTGAGATCAGCAATCAATGTTAAACAGACCTGACCATGTTCTGAAATCTCAGTCTTTGTGACTGCAAATTCGTTCATTCAGTCAACAGAGATCTGTTGAATTATGCCATGTGCCCTATCTTAAGATAGCTTTGGGGTTGGATTTTACATGGAAGGAAAGCTGACATTCTTCCTCCATAGTCTGAAGTTGCTGGTTGTTCACAGCCCTTTGATGAGTTCTCCAAAGTCTCTTTTATCTGAGGGGGATCACGGCAGGCAAGAGAGCTTTCCTGAGGCCGAAAAGCCTCCAGAGTAGAGTAGAGAGGGAACGAGGAGGGCTCTGGGGGTGAGTTAAACCATGAAGACGATATTCCCACCTGAAAAGAGGCATGAGAAGGGGACTGGTAGGAAGATCAATAGCGCGGACCCAGTTGATCAATTGCAGAACATTTCAAATCTGACCTTCAGATCTCTGAAGGTGAATCCTCACTTTCCCGCATTGTCACTGAGCTGTGTGTAAATTATTTTCCTAAATCACTAAGGAAAGAAAATAGCACAAAAATCTCTGTATTCTCCAAGACAACAGTCCACATTGGGAAGCCAGGGCCCCAGCATGTGAGCAGGGGTGGCTGGAAGCACATTCCCCAGGGCTGATTGCACCTCCTTGGGGCTCCCCAAAGTCATCCCCATGGGTGGCAGGGGAATGGGAGAGTCACACAAGGTCTATGCATGGAGACAAATTGGTTGAAGGACTTGAGGGCAGGCTGAGGTGCTCCTACTGCCCAGATGTCATATGCACCGAAAGATAGTGACTCTCTTGATCCTCAATATTCCAGCCTAATCAGAGAACGCCTTTGCGTTATGGTTATGGGAATACAGGGAATCCTGGTTGACTGCTAGTGGGGTGTTAGAATCTTTAACAAAGCATTGGCCCTTTATAGGTCTGTTACCCTTTCTAAAAGGAGAAAGTGAGCCAGGCACAGTGGCTCACGCCTGTAATCCCATACTTTGGGAGGCTGAGCCAGGGTTCAAGACCAGCCTGGCCAACATGGTGAAACCCCGTCTCTACTAAAAATACAAAAAAGTACCCGGGCATGGTGGCAGGTACCTGTAATCCCAGCTACAAGAGAGGCTGAGGCAGGAGAATTGCTTGTACTGAGGGGGTTGGGCGGGGGAGGGGGGAGCCGGAAGGGGGCTGGCGAGGTTGCAGTGAGCATAGATCGTGCCATTGCACACCAACCTGGGCAACAAGATGGAAACCCCATCTCAAAAAAAAAAGAGAGAGAGAGAGAGAGAAGGTGAGATTAGATGCTCTCAAAGGATGGATCCAAGCCTGAATTTTCACTTTGAAGAGTCAAAGTGAACAGCCAGCCTTGTTACCCCTTAGTCTTCAAATATCAAATTCTTCTGAAGCTGCAGATTTGTAAGGACATTTCCACCTTTCAGCCTACTTTGCCCCAACAATATTGCACAGGACATGTAAGATTTTCTTGGCTGGCGGAGCATGGTGGCTCACACCTGTAATCCCAGCACTTTGGGAGGCTGAAGCGGGCAGATCACCTGAGATCAGGAGCTCAAGACCAGCCTGACCAACATGGCAAAACCCCATCTCTACTAAAAATACAAAAATTAGCTGGGTATGGTGGTGGGTGCCTGTAATTCCAGCTACTCAGGAGGCTGAGGCAAGAGACACCACTTGAACCTAGGAGGCAAAGGCTGCAGTAAGCTGAGATCATGCCATTACACTCCATCTCAAAAAAAAAAAAAAAAGATTGATTTGGCTGATATCTACATGTTTAAAGATCTCTCTGTTCCTATTACTGGATTTATTAGCTCTCCTATTATAATCGTAGTAAAATAAAATCTAAAGTAAAACTAAATAAATAAATATGCCATGGCTGGGATACCAGTAGGGACAGAATGGCTTTCTTGGCTGAGCCCTATAGCACCTACCTTATTTGGTTCATTTAGCTTGTGGATAGAAATGTCCCTTTTTTTTTTTTTTTGAGACGGCGTTTCGCTCTTGTTACCCAGGCTGGAGTGCAATGGTGCAATCTCGGCTCACCGCAACCTCCGCCTCCTGGGTTCAGGCTATTCTCCTTCCTCAGCCTCCTGAGTAGCTGGGATTACAGGCACGCTCCACCACGCCCAGCTAATTTTTTTGTATTTTTAGTAGAGACGGGGTTTCACCATGTTGACCAGGATGGTCTCGATCTCTTGACCTCATGATCCACCGGCCTCGGCCTCTCAAAGTGCTGGGATTACAGGCTTGAGCCACGCGCCCAGCCGAAATGTCCCCTTTTAAAGTAAACGCTACTGAGCATTCACTCAAAACTCTATCTAGTGTTAGATCTGAACCAACATTTCTTAAGGTTCAAACAGGTGAAATGCTCTTCACCTTCCGGTCTACCTGGTAAGTTTCTGTACATTTCTCTTAGTGATGGCTTTTTACTCATCTCACATCTGAGGGCAACAAGCTTTTACTCTGTTCTACTAGCAGTAATCCATCAGGCATGCTGCAGGATCTCCATATTCTAAATCAACTTACTTAGAAGACACAGCATTTTTTTTATTGCCTCTTATCTGTAAGTCCCATCACATCCTCTACACCTCCTATCTCTAGCTTGCACCGCATGACCATTGCAGGCACATTCACCTCCTGCTCCTGGCCTCCTGGAACTAATCCTCCCCTATCCAAATCTTTAGCAGGAACTAATCCTCCCCTATCCAAATCATTAATGCTTAGAATGATTAATGCTTAATCATTCTAAGCATTAATCTGGTTTTGTTTACTTACTGTGGATGAATATGTAAATTTCTACTCTGTCTGAACATTGTTTCTGAGCTACTTGTGTTTATTTATTCACTCCTTTCTCATCTCTCTCCCAATTTTAGGCCCCAGGCAACCTCACACGACCTAACTGGATTCTCTCAAGCCATCCTTTCAAAAGGAATGAAAATTGAAGTCTCTCTTCTATGCCTGAAGACTCTAGGATGCCTGCAGAGTCAGGAACTCTGGAATCTTAGGTATCCTCCTGACATACCCATCTCCATCACCCCTGGCTGAACATGCTGAGAAAGAATGACCTGGCATGCTTGCAGAAAAGAGGCACTATTTGCTGTGTGTGAGCATGCACAGGCTCTTGGACACACTCCATGCACCACCCAGCATGGTCCTGTTTTGTGTAGTATGGCTTCATTCTTTTGCATTTCTACTCCCAGTGAGCCATATGACAATTTTTTTTAATTAAAAGAAATGACAAATCTTTTTTTTTTAATCTCTGGAAATGTTTAAGACATCTTCTGAAAGAACTGGGGAATGGATGATTGTGAACATTGTGTATATCCTGCAAGGACATAATTAAATTTGCAATAACTCTATCCCCTTTTGAATGAGTCATAAAAACCAACAGAAAGTGGTCAGTAATTAGGCATGTGTCTGATGCCTGTCTTATTTCTTCTTTTTTTCCTTTCCTTTTTTTTTTTTTTTTTCTTGAGACAGAGTCTTGCTCTGTCACCCAGGCTGGAGTGCAGTGGTACAATCACAACTCGCTGCAACCTCTGCCTCCTGGGTTCAAGTGACTCTTATGCCTCAACCTCCCCAGTAGCTGGGATTATAGAAATGCACCACCATGCCTGGCTAATTTCAGTATTTTTAGTAGAGACGGGGTTTCACCATGTTCCCCAAGCTGGTCTCAAATTCCTGGCCTCAAGCCATCTGCCCACCTCAGCCTCCCAAGTTGTCTTATTTCTTAATGGAGTCTGAACTCAAAGAAGAAAGAAAAAGGTAGGCCTTGTTATCTTCCTCAAATTCCAACAAGAAAGACAAACACTAAACACAGAATACATAAATTTAAAATTAACTACCAATTGGGATAAGTGCCATGAAGTAAAACAGGGAGACCACACTTGTTGATAATATGCACAAGCTCTTTTTCATTTTTGGATAAACGTTTTTGGGCTACATGTGGATGTTGAGCTATAAAATACAACTGATCTGGCAAAAGAATAAGCTTATCCCTTACTTGACAAAAATTTACACAATGTTTTGGGAGTTAGGGTTTTCTGTCAGTTCCTTGGCATCTTATTTGGTTTTTTGGGTGTTGGCTATTAATTTATAAGAGTTTCAGCCCATGTTCCTATTTAACAAGTCTTTTTTTAACACAAAAAAAGAAAGAATTTTTTAACCCTCAAGCTCTTCTTTGATCCATACTGCTGTGATGCAAGATGTCAGTATCAATTGCCCTGACCGGAATGAAAGGGGATCCACCCTAGACTCTATATTTTCAGGGACACACACTTCTGCAAGTGCCACAAATGCACTCTGGCTCAGTGTGACCAGCAACCTAAACCTAACTCAGAACCAACACTATCCAGGGTTGGGAAAGGATTCTACATCGCTTTCCGAAGACCTTGAAACAGAAGGCAGTTGTGTCTAGAAGTCTTGAAAGGCTTTGTATTGCTGATATGGTGTGGATCTGTGTCCCTACCCAAATCTCATGTTGAAATGGGATTTATATTTCAACATGAGATTTGGGTAGGGACACAGATCCACATCATGTCAGCAATATCGGGCACGGTGGCCAGTAACTGGATTCTGGCAGCAGTTTCTCATGAATGATTTAGCACCATCCCCCTTGTGCTGTTCTCATGATGGGGTTCTCTTGGGATCCAGCTGCTTAAAAGTGTGTAGGACTTCCCCTCACTCTTTCTTCCTCCTCCAGCCATGTAAGATGTGCCTGCTTCCTCTTGGCCTTCTGCCATGATCATAAGTTTCCTGAGGCCTCCCCAGAAGCTGAGCAGAAGTTAGCATCATGCTTCCTGTACAGCCTGTAGAACGGTGAGCCAATTAAACCTCTTTACTCTCTAAATTACTCAGTCTCAGATATTCAGATTTATAGCAATGTGAGAATAAACTAATAGAATTTGCTTCAATGCCAATGTCAGAGGTAGACACTGTTTCAGCAAGAGACAACACAAATGGATTTATTTCTTAGAGAACAGAAATGTAACAGATTTTCTCGAAATATATTATCATTTCCCAGTAGGGCCATGCATCCATTTTTTTATTCACTCAATACTCCAAGTTACAGTTCTAGAGCTTCTCACAACTTTCATGATGTTCACAGCAGTTGCATAATGACAATAAAATATTTTGCAGTATTAAACAATTCATATTATTCTTAGTAGAAATATGTCTAGACATAACAAGTATGAAGCTTGACACTGACCCTTTACGTTGGTAACTAGAGAGACAATGAATTCTGGAATTGTAAATCACTGGCATTTTATAAAAATATTTGATGTGATTTAATTAAAATTTCAAAAAATTAAATAGAAATATTTTAACTTCATCTTAATCATTTATTTAAAATATTATTTTTATTAATTATAATAGGTGCCTTCCTTTAATTTTAGTATATAATTTTTATATTTCCAAAGAAAGATAATTTCTAAAATATATATATTTATTACAATTTTTTTATTTTCAAATTTACTTCCATTTATATCTTAAATAAAAGTGTGTCAAAATTACATACACTTTGAGTTTTATTGTTGAATGCTTTGGATCATTGAGATCATGATAGAAATAGAATATACAGAAGTGGCACTCAGAATGAAAATGAGCTAAACAGAAAATAAGTGGAAGTTCTTCAAAGAGGCAGATTGCATAGGTATTTTAAAACTGAAAACAAGGGAAATGAACAAATTTCTGCCAAGTATGTCCCACAGAAAATTCCTGACCAAGATATTGTGTATTCTCTATTTAATGAATATTTAATTGCTATTTTAAAAAGTAAATTAGCAAATTATTCTTATCAATTCACAGTCTGCACAGGTCAGATGAAATGCCTACAATATTATATTCTTCACCAAATGAAGATGCAATTACATGTCACAAAACATAATTTGCACAGAGAAAACACAATGCAATTTCTTTAAAAAAAAGTTGAATAAAGAATAATTGATCATATTCAATAAAGATAAGGAAAAGCAAACTGAGAACCTTACTGTGATGTTCTTAAAAGGATAACACTACCTATCCAAAGTTTACTATCCATAATGATGCTTTCTGTCTCAGTAAAAGCACAGTATCTAGGTTTAGCAGAAAATTGTTTCAAATTTTGATGCTAAAATGAACAAAAATATAACGAAGCAAGTGATCACTCTCAAGTTTAGAAGATTCCAAATGCAGCTATAATTCAGTGAGTAATAAGGTGAGAAAAGAAAACATATGTAGTTTTTAAAAAGGTATTATTGGCTGGACACAATGGTTCATTCCTGTAATCCCAGCACTTTGGGAGGCTAAGGCAGGTGGAACCCTTGAGCCCAGAGTTTGAGACCAGCCTGGGCAACATGGTGAAACCTTATTTCTACAAAAAAATACAAAACTTAGCCAGGTGTGGTGGCACATGCCTGTGGTCTGAGCTACTCAGGAGGTTGAGATGGGAGAATCACCTGAGCCAGGGAGGTTGAGGCTGCAGTGAGCTGTGATCACACCACTGAACTCCAGCCTGGGCAACAAAGTGAGTGTGTCTAAATAATAAAATAGTAAAATTAAAGATACTATTATTCAGTTCAACTAGGTTGTACCAGGGTCAAAATTCATGTTGATGAAGTCATATTCACTACATGTATTGTTGAACTCTCAGAAGAGGAAACAAGTCAAAACTCAACAGTATTTCACTGGTTTACATCAGTTGTGAAAATAGTTATAGACTTTACTGAAAAGCTGAGAAATTTTCAATTTTAGGCATTGATTTAAGAGATTGATGAGAGCAAGCTTCATGGCTTACTGAATCTCACTAACACAGTTGGCAAAGAATAAAATAATTAAGCCAGAATGTTTATAAAAATCCAGAAGCATTTCTTTGTAGCTGGAATTTATTGCTGGGAGAAAGGACCTTATCTGCACCTATGGCAACACTATTTTGTGGAACAATTCAGAGATAAAATGCAGTATCTTCTGGGTCAGCCCAAAAATGAACCAACATGATGAAACACATATGAAATTGGACCCTACACCATAATTTGACACACAATGGGAATTTGGAACACATGTTAGAACAATTAGGATCCACTAGGAGAGTGCAGAAAACAATATTCCCAAATCAGTGAATAGTCACCAAAAATGAAATTAATTTGAGTTTGTGCCATCCACATTATTTAGTATAATCCATTGCTTAATTTTATTTTATTTTATTTTATTTTATTTAGAAACTTGATGTTTATTTTCCATGAATCTTATATGTTGTTTAAGAGGCCACACAAGAACAGCTTAAGACCATTCAGTGGTTGCTCCTACCCATTCAGTGGCCTGAGCAGTGGGAGCTGCAGACCAGTCTTCCGTGGCAGGCTGGGCGCTCCAGTCTTCAGTAGGGAACTGCTGGATAGGCACAGAGGGATTCTGCACGCCTTCAGACCAGTCGGCAACCTCAGGCTGAGTAGCAGTGAACTCAGGAGCTGGAGCAGTCCATTCGCCCTGAAATTCCTCCTTGGTCACAGCCTTTTCAGCAGCAGCCTGATCTTCTTTTTCAATCTCTTCAGGATCTCTGTAGAAGTAGAGATCAGGCATGACCTCCCACGGGTGTTCACGGGAAATGGTGCCACGCATGTGAGAAACTTCCCGAGCCAGCATCCACCACATCAAACCCACTGAGTGAGCTCCCTTGTTGTTGCATGGGATGGCAATGTCCACATAGCGCAGAGGAGAATCTGTGTTACACAGAGCAATGGTAGGTAGGTTGACATAAGATGCCTCCGTGAGAGGCTGGTGGTCAGCCCGTGGGTCAGTGACCACAAGCAGCCGTGGCTCCCAATAGGCTGCCTGGATCTGGTTGGTGAAGGCTCCAGGAGTAAAGCGGCCAGCAATTGGCGTGGTTCCAGTGGCAGCAGCAAACATCAGCACGGCCCTCTGGCTAGTATTCCTGGAGAATATAACACTGACATCAGCAGGGTTTTCAATGGCAACAATGGCACGAGCTGCCAGGAGAAGCTTCTCCCAGGTTCTCTTCAGATTTATAATGTAGATGCCATCACTTTCCCTTTTATAGATACACTGTTCCATCTGGAAGTCAAGGTTGGTGTCACCTAAATGGGTTCCTGCTGCCAGGAACTTAAGGACATCCTCCTCCTTCATTTTCAGGACATTAAGAGCTCCGGACATTGTGAAAGTTTCCCTTTAAGCTACGACGGGAATCCAGAACAACGCCATTTGGAGCCCTTGGCAGGTAGCGCGGAAAGCCCATTGCTTAATTTTAATTTTAAAAAGTAACAAAACAAAACAGATCGAGTTTGATACTTTATGTTAAAATCATTAAACTACATATACATATGTATAGTTTAATTTTAGAAAATGTTTTCTTAGTTGAAAAAAACTGGCATAAAATATACAACAAAGGTGATGCTTAGATCAAGTATAAAGAATTGTTTAAAAGAAGGCCAAGCACGGTTGCTCATACCTGTAATTTTCATGCTTTGGGACACCCTCAGCCAGAAGGCTCTCTTGACACCAGGAGGTCAAGACAAGCCTGGACAATACAGTAAAACCCATGTCTCCACCAAAAAAAAGGGCGTGGGGAGAGAACTTTTAAAAAGAAAATAATAGAGGAATGATCCAAGATGGCCAATCGCTAACATCCCGGGATTGCAGCTCTCAGGGAAGGCGCGGAGAACTAGAGGACGCCACACTTTCAGACAAAGTCTGGTCGCTCACGAAGCAGAAGATCCCCCAGTGGTGGAAACACACGAGTCGCCAGCGCGACTCTCGTGGTCGGTGCAGCGGTTCCGCCAGCACCTCGACGCGGCAGCGCTCGGCGCAGAGTAAACAGGACCGGTTCCCCTTCTGACCGAGGTTTGGAGCCCCGGGAAGGCAGAGTCGCTTACTACGGAAACAAGAAGGAAGCCCGACAGGAGAATCCTGGGCAGAAAAGCACCATCAGTTTTAACGCCGCTGCTCTGGCCCTGGGAACTAACAACCTGGACGTCCACTCAAGAGACCTAATCTGAAAGTTGGTAATTTCAAAGACGACAGGAGGATAAATTTACAATGACGGGAAGAAACCAGCGTAAAAACGCTGAGAATACTCAAAGTCAGAACGCCTCTCCCTCTAAAGATGATCACAGTTCCACATCAACAATGGAACAAGGCTTGATGGAAAACGAGCGCATCCCAATGACAGAATCACTCTTCAAGGAATGGATAATAACAAACTTCGGTGAGGTAAAAGAACATGTTGTAGCCCAACGTAAAGAAACTAGGAACTTTGAAAAAAGGTTTGATGAAATCCTACTGAGAATAGACAACTTAGAGAGGAGTATGAGTGAATTAATGGAACTGAAGAATACAATACAGGAACTCCGAGAAGTATGCACAGCTTTAAACACTCGAATTGTTCAAGCAGAAGAAGGGATATCAGAGGTCAAAGTCCAACTTAATGAAATAAAACGTGAAGAAAAGATTAGAGAAAAAAGGATAAAAAGGAATGAGCAAAGTCTCCAAGAAATGTGGGACTATGTGAAAAGACCAAATTTACGTTTGATAGGTGTACCTGAATGCGACGGAGAAAATGAATCCAAGCTGGAAAATACCCTTCAGGATATTATTCAGGAAAATTTTCCTAAACTAGCAAAGCAGGTCAACATTCAACCCCAGATAATACAGAGAACACCACAAAGATATTCCTCAAGAAGAGCAACCCCAAGGCACATAATCGTTAGATTCACCAGGGTTGAAACGAAGGAGAAGATACTAAGGGCAGCCAGAGAGAAAGGTCAGATTACCCACAAAGGCAAGCCTATCAGACTTACAGCAGATCTCTCGGCAGAAACTCTACAGGCCAGAAGAGAGTGGGGGCCAATATTCAACATCCTCAAAGAACAGAACCTTCAGCCCAGAATTTCATATCCAGCCAAACTAAGCTTCACAACTGAAGGAAAAATAAAAT